GCAAAACTTAACGAGTGCCTACCCGACAGTCTCGCGAATACATAAAAGAATTGTTTTGTCAGAAAAATAAAAGGCTGGAATTACAAGAGAGAGTTTCAAAGTTCGAAGGAATACTATCCGATCGGTATATACCGGCTTGAGCGTCGATGTCGACGTCTCCCATACCTCCGAAAAGTTTCGAATTGTTGCCCGAAGACAAGGGAAGACCAATCGGTATTCATTATTTTACGTCGCTTCTTCTTGTGTTTGTTCTGTGGGGTGTTCGTTATCCGATCATGTGTTCGTTGTCCGAACATAAAAATCTTTCGCGAAAGTGTTCGTTATCCGATCTGTTCGTTAACCGATCACCCACTGTATTAAAATTTTTCACTTAACTTTACTTGTATAAAATGAGTAATAGATATCTTTGTAACAAAGTTTAATCAACGTAAGATCTGTGATAATCGGCCAGGAGATTCACAGACCCAAATCACTGCAAATTAAAAACACCATCTATATTATATTTAAAAAATATATAAAGTATTTATACAGTATAGGCTTTTTAGATACCATGTTCGCTTATAAGGCCGAAACACTAAAAATATTATGATGTATGGCAAGTCTACATTCATAAATGTCCCATAGAAAAGTCTCAAAGGGCAATAGATTGCTCATACCTGAATTGTGGACTCGTCACATCCAGATTCTACGAATAGGCAATTGCATAGTTTGCTTAGGTTTAAATACATTTTTTTGTGAAATTTATTGATAGCAAGAAAGTGTAGCCTGCGAATATAGAAAATGGTTAGGAACTATTCATTTGTAGTGTAAAAAAAATCAATAATTTCTGTTTTTTTCAAAAAATATAGAATAATATCATGATTTGTATAATCATTAATGAAAGAAAATGTGTTCCAAAAGTGTTATTGCTTGATTAATGAATTTACAAAAATCTAAAATTTTAACAACACAGTATATTGTATTTTTATACTTTTACTTTTGATAAAATTAAAATGAAAGAGCAACACGATAATTCTTTACAGAGAATATAAATATTGAAAATTTTATATTAAAAAAAATTCTTCTTGTTTAGTGGAGACTGANATGCCGAAGTTGCCCCGGTCTCACCTATATATTTGTGAATTGTTATTTACATTATCTGTATAATTTTAGTTTTAATTACTGTATTTTAATCCTTTTGCTAATAATGTATTCGCTTTAATTAAGTTAGAATTTTTTTTTGTATTTTAAACTTTATGTTTATCTTATTTCCTTTTTTTGTTCTGTCTGGTGGTATAAAAAAGAAATTGTTAGCTATCAGACAAGATGCCCTTTAGACCCACATCTCAAAGAGAAAATGCGTATGTAAACGTGACACCGAGATTGTTTATCTATCAAGTAACGGTTTAAAGGAATTTCGCCTATTTTTCCAATTTTAGGAGACCTTCCTTTCCAAATTTTTAGTAATCGATTTAAAATAATTTAGACAAACAAATTAGAATAAAAAAATTTATTAATTGTTATAAATCTCACAACATGCGAAGGTAAAGATGAGAGGATGTCCATCGTTTCCCCCTTTTCCGATGGTGTTATATGACCGATGGTATCACGTGGGCGCACATTATTTCTCATTGACAAGAAAGGAGAAGGACCACAAGATGACCAATCATGCATTTTTCAAATTACCTCACCTTCCTCCGGAACTAAAGCATGATTGGTCAAAAACGAAGGAAAATAGAAAGAAGTGACGAAATTAACACGAGAGTGAGACAGGATCAAGAGACTGACTGATTGACTGGCCGGACAGGGGATTGACCAGACGAGACAACAGACCTAGTGTAAGACCTAGTAAATGGCCAAATAAAGGAGAAAAAAAAAGACGACGAAAAAGAAGAAGAGAATGGAGAGAGAAAGTAAAGAAGGAAGAGAAAACAACTCTTTTCCAGGTATGTCTTGAGTCACGCGCAGTTTGGATACTCCCGTTAGTTACTCCCCTCGTTTTATAATAGAAATAGGCCAATTTCCTAAATCGGATTTTATAACTATTCAGAACTTTGTTTTTTGATAATAATCTCTTGATATTTGTACTTAACTCTGCATTCATCCTCCAGAGAGGCTCATTCCTGGAATTCGGAATGACTTTTATCCTCGCGCCTTAACTATTTGTTTTTTTTTTTTTTCCTAAATCGGCGGTGTTCCGACAAATCACACCTGGTGGCAGGACCCTACCATAAACTTGCGTAATCTAATTTTTGACGGCACCCGACCCTCACACCTACGTGTATACGTAATATGAGGTAGAGTTTAATTAAAGTGTAATTGATACGTGAGATTGAAAGGATATTTTCGATTAGGTATCAAATAATACCTCTGTTTAGACTTTAGAGCATACAACAGATAATAAATTATCATAAATATTTGACAGCGCACGCGCCCACGCCCAATGAATTTGAGTGAAACCGAAAACAAAACTAAACGTCTCGTCGAGGGTTTAGTCTTGTTAGTCTTCTTTTGTGGAATGCCAGCCATCTTGTAAGTGTTAAAGTAATATTTAATTGCAAATTTTTGAAAATATTTAATTAAATTTAAATTTTAGAAAGTAATCGAAGGTAGTATAAAGCGAAAATTATTTATAAATAAAGCTTATATTAGTGTTGCTTAATACATTTAACACTTAGATTGTCTTAAACTATTATAGCCTATTTACGGTATATAAAGCCCATGTAATTTGTGCTAGTGGATTTAGATCTTGATACTTTAAACTTACCTCGCACAGTCAAAGAGAAGATACATCATATGAGATGACGTTTGATATTGTAAAGGTTTAGCTAGTACAGTACTTAGACGTGAACGGATATCGATTCATATAAAGCAGGGATGGCCAACATGTAGACCGCGGTCGACCGCAAAGGTTTTGAAAGTAGCCCGCGAAGCTAAAGTTGAACAATTTGCTTTCATTTAAATTAATGTTTAAAAATCTTAATTCGATAATTTATTCTTACAATAATAGACTGTCTGTGCAACATACCCATACCGTTTGTATTTATCCCAATGAATAATGCAAATGAATGTTAAAGCATGCGCATATAAATGGCAATCATAAAATGGCGCAAAATCATGTGTCAGACAGCAACGTGACATATTCATAGTCGCTCGCAGACTATATTTTACCGAAAAAGTAGCCCCTAAGGGATAAAAGTTTGGCCACACCTGATATAAAGCATATCAGTATTTGCTTGTATGAAGTCACTAAAAGTACGAAGCTCCAGACAAAAGCATATGTTGTTTATACTTTATATTATCTTCCGTATGCTATTGAATGGAGGAAAAATTGAATATTAAATGATAAACGTTTTTGTTCGAAAATATGATATGAATTCAAGGGACGGAGCAGCAACTCTCAGAAAGTCATAAAAATATATGAGTAAAAGCAATAAAACAAATAACATCGGGGGTTACTTATCAAAAGAAACTTTATATCACTTTCATTTAATGCTTTTAAATGAAAGACAATTCTGACAACCCCTCTCTGTCTGGAGTTTCAGGCCAAATGGCTCTGCTTTGCCCCATCTGTCTAGTTATGTGTGGGCTACTCAATTATGAATCCAGTTAAATTACCCAAGTAGTTTCTAAACTAGATAAATTATGTACAGTATGTTTAACTTTTTTAAAAATGAATTAAGTAAATGTCAATTTATAAGTACTGTACTTACATAAATATAAGTTTCTTTTAATATTATTATTCGAAAGAACAATCATATGTGCTTTTAAGTACATATCATTGTTTTGATTATTGTTTTGACCATGACAATGGTAAGTTATAATATAACTAGCAAATAAGCTCGGCTTTCCTCGGACAAAAAGTAACGATAGCGAAGATTAAGATTATTACATTATAGCCAATCATGCGTAGAGCCAAAATAGGAGTTGAAAGTTGGTACACGGTTAGGGTACGTCACGAGAACGTACACTAAGAAGGGATTTTTCGTAATTCTCCCCGTGGGGGAAGTGTTAACAATGGAAGTATTAAGTAACAACGAAGTGTTAAGAGAAAGCGGCGTGCAGGATTAACAAGCACAGATGCGTATTTGCGGAAAATCGGACATATTTTTAGATCCATCGGAAAGTTCTCTAATTACTGTAGTCTGGAAACGGGGACTAATTCTTGCATTCTGTGAAAACGGGTAATATTGGCTATAATGTAATAACCTTAATCTTCGCTATTGTTACTTTTTGCCCGAGCAACGCCGGGCTTATTTGCTAGTACAGTAGAGCATCGATTATCCGACACCGATTAACCGTCACACCGGTTAACCGACCGTTCTAGTCGGCAAATTTCAAATGTCCGCTAGTGATGTGGCGCTATAATATTTGGCTATGTCTTGGCTACTTTATTATTATTTTTGTTAAATTTTTGCGTGTTTTAGCTGGCGACACTGGCTCGACCATGAAAGGGAGGCCAGTATTTAAACGAGATTTAATTTTCTAATTATGAGTGGTTGTTTGTTTTGTGAGCAATAAAATAATTTAAAAATATTTTTTAACGATACAATAGCGACGATTATTATTTTTAAAAAAAATTTGTTAGGCTTAACAGAGATGAAAATTCAACGCGAAATAGGTTAACGATATACTAATATACTAATTACATGGGATATACTAATATACTATACTAATAATGGATTTTTTCATACTTTTCGGTTATCCGACTTTTCAATTATCCGACCAACCCCAGTCCCCAATTAGGGC